GTTTGTATTTTTCTATATATTTATATGTATTATAAGACATCCTGTAATTGGCTTCCGCTGTTGGATGATTTTCGAAATAAATAAATAAATAAATAAATAAATAAATATCGAAATAACATTTTATTATTATATATGTACAAAAATGATGTTTGTTGATGGCTTGTGTAGCAAATGCAATTATGCATTTCTTGTTGTAGACATTATCAAGCTTATTCGTCATTCGTCCATGTATTTCCCAAGTGACGGAGATTTAGCTAGTGTGCGTAGCGCTTTATTACGACTACAATCTACTTATCGAATAGATGTTACTTCGATATCAGAGGGACCAATAGTTCCACTCAAAGAGGTTGGTAGATTATTGGTAGAAATCAATGACATTACATCACTACAACTTTTACCAACTTTAAATATTGAAAATCTGCTTCTCAAACTATGGGGTCGCGACCTAAATTTGGATCGCCAAAACATTTTTGTTGATTGCCACCCTAAAAAAACAAAAAAAAAACAAACAAAAACAAAAACTGGTAAAGCGCATTTCGAAACATGTAAAAATACTTCTACTGAGTCCAACAAAGAACTCAAGAGATTTACCCAGGCATAGCTACGAAGAGGAAAGCTTGAAATTTATTATCAACCCAAAAATAAAAATCACTTTATATTCGACTTAGCCGAGGTTGACTCTATAATTACAGCAAGCATGTCTTTATTTGATCATTATGCTCTAGCTCGCCAAAAAGGAGTCTGAAAGTGTGTCGACAAATAAATTTGTTTGAGAAAGCAGGGGCATTAATACCTCTTGTGTTTGAATTGAAAAAAAAAATTGTGTCAGTTTTTCTATTCTTTCCATGGAGGTTTTTGCAGTTACCGGTATACACTATGTATACCTACACCAATAAATATCTTGTATAAGTAGCCGTCCAACTAACCCTTTTCTATAGCTTCGACTTCATTATGGGATATGCATAAATTCCTGGCTAAAACATAACATAACACGTTCTGCTTGGTCAGTTGTTTGATCGCTACACTGCAAACGCCTATGGATTTAATAACTGTGATGACCAAATTAGGCATATCGATGTATTGACTAAAGTAGTTTATGGTCACTGTCAGGTCTGTATGTGTGGGTATAAGTGTGGGTTGGGAACACAGTTTTTATCTCTCTAAATCCTATTTTTAGACAATTACTCCGCCGTTTTCTGTTGACGAGTGCTACCAAATGGCTATGTCGGCAATGAATATGTCAGACTTCCACCATAGTGTGATGTGGTTGGAGAAATCACGGAGTCTACTAGAGCAAATGACAAAGCAAATGAATGAATCTGGTAAGATATATGCCACGCTTAAAATGATAGGCCTACTTTTTATTATATAAAAACTATCATATCAAACAAATCGTTGTAACACGGTAACCAACTGGATTATGTCATTTCAGGAGTGCAAATGAAAAGAATGAATTCAATTTGATACATTAAAAAATCTTTCCAAGTACACCACTTCAATGGGAAACTAATAATCTACTACAATTAATTAAAATGTAATATTTAGTCTTTTTTAGCTAAATTTTGTATCTTGTTTGCCTGGAATTTTGATATATTAAAGAATGAAGTCTTTAATACGGTATCGAACCTTTAATGCCAATCACCTGGTTTTCACCAATTTTAGATGGAAACGGTGTGGTGTCGATGGAAGATATCTTGAGGATGATGGCTGCTGCGCAATACAACGGGAGGAATCAGAATCGCGCCTTCAAAATTACAAAGGAATTATTAAAAACAGGTAAATCAGTGTTAATGTACTCGAGGGCCCACTGATTAATTTCAGATTCGAAAGAATAATACATCTCTGAGAAAACGAAATACACGACATCGTGCTGGGATTCAATATTTTGATTCTTTATTCCTGATAAATCCCAGTACGATGACGTGTACTTCTTTTCTTGGAGTACTATTCTTTCGTACTGTTACTCTTATTATAAAATTCGTAATCATACAAGTTATATGTGTACTGTGGTGTTATCATGTAGAGGTATTTTCTTCTTCTGCCAACCTCTGTGTTTTACCAGTTATGTCTAATTGTAGATCCTCAGAACGATTTATATAAAAAGGACAGAGATTTCTACCACAAGAAAGCGGCTGTGAGTAAACAACGACTTGTTGACGAACTACAATATCCAAAACCAGTAGAATTGTCGCAATTTGAGAAGAAGTATGAAAAAGCTTGCCGTGGTTCAGGAAAACAGGTTAGTCACGTCTTAAATCACCACAGCCTAAATAATGTTAATATCAAACTGTATCGTTATAGGCTTATGACTTTTCATAAATTCATAGCTAATATTTAAATTCATTGTGAAGATTGAATAAGAGATATTTTAGAAAAGGAATCCGATCCAGGGTTTAAGTCAGTGGTTTTGGGATTAAAAGGCTGTTTTCTTACCAAGCAAGTTACAAATTCATTCATTAATACTGTATATAAGCCTACAATTTATTATTTCTATCATCATAACGTCCATAACTTTACATGAATGCTGCGTCTGTTTCTTATAGTCACCCAGGCTGACCAAGTATTTACGATGTTTCTATACCAACCACCACCCTAATATCATACTAGCCCCAGTGAAAACAGAAGAAGTTTACAAAAACCCGTTGGTGTTAATATTCCATGATTTGCTCTCAGCTACTACAGAGGTGGCAATCTTCAAAGAAATATCATCACAAAAGGTTTGTTGATTGTTTTCTGTTCTTTTTTTAATTACCAGATTTATAGTTAAATGTTCAGTATAGACATATATGATAAAAACAACTGCTTACTATCTTTTTACTAATGATTTATATTTCAGCTTGCATTTTCAATTGATGAAGAACAAAGTGTAGACGAACGCTTTAACGAAAGGTTTCTTTTCATTTTTTATATATTTAGTTAATATCTGAAATGTTGAATAATGATTGTGTTAATATAAAAAAAATCATATAGGCCTAGCACTAATGGTATTTTTGTCATTCCAGCACAAAGTTATTCAATGAAGACTTTCTAAAAGAGGGCGTTATTATACCGTGGTTCTCCGAAAGTATCGACGTCGAACAAAAGTTCAGTAGTTACGGAGCATTCGACGTAGGTCCATACATAGGCCTATAATAAATATGAAAAATAATATTTAAATTGCCTTCTTTTTACATTCATGTAAATTACTGTACGAGATTCCAATCGAAGATTACAACGAGAAATGCTTTTAATGTAATTAACTGATGCATAGTAATTAATACCTGTGCCTGTATATTCTTTGCATTAGCTCAACCATTCACTGGTAAAAAGAGAAATGTAAATTTAAAAGTATTCATCGACTTGTTTTTTTTTTTTTTTTTTTGTTTTTTTTTTTTATCTTGGGCCGTGTTTTCCAATACTGTAGGTACGTTCCTCTGGCATAGGACAGCGATATGGTCCTCATCATAGCATGGTAGATACGGTGCAAAATGACGGCAACCACCTAGCAACACTTCAAGTTTATGTACGTGTGATATCTCAACAGTATCATCGTTTATTACTTATAATGTTTAAAGCAACTGCATAGGCTCTAATAAAATAAACACTTATGTATAGGACTAAGCTACGTCTTCATTCATCTAAGCAACTCCACAGTTTAACGCATTTTGAAGATATATATATTTATACATTGAATAAACGCCCTACCTCAAATAATGTGTGACAGCTCTGTCAAAATAGATAATAATAATCAAAGTAAGTTGGACGTCAATAAAATTGTCAAAAAAGTTCATCGTAAACTATAGATTTCCACGACAACGTTTTAACTACCTCAAAGGGGTGATTACACAATAGGAAATTTGTTGATAAATAATTGCTTATACCTACCGAATACCACTATTATAAAAAAAAAAAAAAAAAAAAAAAAAAAAGTTACTCCTCACCCCACCCAATACTATACCAGATGGGGCTACTTAGACTCACTCCCACTTTCTTTCTTTCTCCCTCCCTCTATATTTATCAACACCAATCCATCCAATATGTCTCTGAGCCCATCCCACAAACCTTTATACCTATTTCTCATGTCCTCCCCCATTATTCACCTGATTTCTCTCTGGAAGAAAACATATCAGATATCAGCTTTTTCTCAAACTACCGATGGATGTAATATCCTGACTAATGTTTTTGAATTTATTTTCAGCTATCCACAGTTGAATACGGTGGAGGAACTGTGTTTCCGCTGCTAGGAATCAATATACCAGCTGTGGAGGTAGACTCATTCGCATTATCTACTCATAATGTTCAAGAGAAATTCCATATCTTCATCATCATTGCAGCCACTATGGTCATAATCATAATCATTATATAATTAGCTCCATTATCAACATAGGCCCCCTATTAGGTATATGCCTGTATTTTCTGTTATATAATAGGCCTAATATAAATGTTGCTATATTATTTTTATTAATGTTATTATTATTATTATTATTATTATTATTATTATTATTATTATTATTATCATTATTATTATTATTATTATTATTATTATTATTATTATCATTATCATCATATTTACTCTCAACCATCGTCACCATCTGATTTTAACACATTGTCAATGTAGGGAAAAAAGGCAGATTATGTGAGCTCATAGACCTTTCGCCTATTTTCTAAACAATACTTTTCATGCCTGATGCTTTACTCTCTCCTTAGGGCAGTGCTGTGTACTTCCATAATACATATTCATCAGGCCGCTATACCTCCAAGATGAATGACTATGTTGAATGCCCGGTATTGTTGGGAGAGCAAATAAGTAAGTAATGCAGAATATAAGAACAGAATGATAATTATTAAATTATAATAATACAATACCACGATACGATTGATACTAATTGACAATATTAGATAATGATAGGCCTAATGATGTTAATGATAATGATGAGGATGATGATGATAATAATAATAATAATAATAATAATAATAATGACGTGTTTTTCCATTTGCTTTCGTAGCCATGACAAAGTGGTACAAAACACATGCGCAGAAACTCCATCGAGACAGCAAACCTTCGAAAGCTCACCCTTAATAATGTAAAAATATTTCTGTCGAGTAAAGAATCCACTCACCTCTCAATAGTTTAAAGAAATATTCTTGAATATGTACTGACTTTCTATATAGGCCCTAGCTGTATTTTCAACCGTGAAGCTATAATCTTTAAAACAAAATCTGAAACCACAAATTTAATACTGATAATTTTTTCATGTTATTATTGTGTTTTTAAGCGTGTGATATCATTTTATTTATTTATGTTGTATTAAGGTTGAGCATTAGCTTTTATAGCGATGAGATGTGGAATGGAGCGTTTCAGAAATCCATACTATATGTTATAACAAACTAAACGCAATAATTATATATAATACTCATCCACTAAATTGCTGTATTAAAGTAAACATCAGGTAGAATTTTACAATCAAAACAAAGAACAAATTATTATTTTTCAAAACATTATTCATATGCAGATAGTATTCAATCATATTTAATTTAGATAGGCTCAATAAAGTAAACGACCCTTTGATATTGACTTTTTTTGTATGAGTAGTTACTTTGTATGTTTGGTGTTGATTTGAAACTGTATTAAATGTAAATGGAAAGTTGACATCTTGATTTTTTTTAATCGATTTTGTGATTCATTCTACATTCACATCCAAAGAAGACAAATGGCATAGGCATATGTCCAATCTATAATAAAACAATGAACAATTTTATCTTATTCTGCATTCACACATAAGAAGACAAATTACGTCAAATCTATAATATAACAATGAACAACTCCATGGAACAAATATTATCTTACCTTACATTGAAAACATAAAATGCCTGTTTTTTTTCTCTCTCCTTCAATCACTCAACTTTTTAACTTTAAATATCTGTTAGGCCTACATATGTTTGTTTCTTTGGTCAGTACTGGAGAGCTCCGAAACAGATTGGGAATTGCCCTCTTTTGGGTAATCCTACAACTGTTGAGGCGTTTATGTATTTTTTATATAGGGACCTACTTATGTTTGTATTTGTAAATTTGAAATAAAATGACATGATGATATAGCTTCATTTGCCACATTATTTCTCGTTTTCCATGCCCTCAGGGGCGGATTTTGACCCCCACCCTTCGGAAATTAAATAAAAAAGAAAGAAAGGAAAAAAAAATTGATCACCCACAACGCCTCAGATGCTATTTCCAGGCGTCTAGAAAGCAACAATTTCCCGGGGGAATGCCGGACCCCCTAAAATTAGCTTCTTTTCTTGAGCTGAACTTCAAATTAGCCTCAGCAAGTGAAATTAATTAATATACTCATTTTAGGAATTATTTGCAAAAATTTAGTTATTAAATCCACAAAAATGTCCGTAACGAGCGAACTCTCTGATAAAACCAAACCATCATTTCCATTACATCATTATAACCATCAAACTTATTATGAAATTAGCAATTTACGTGCTATAGATACTTCAAATCCAGAGGGCCTTTCCCTTTGACACCACATGAGCTATTGCACTGGACTCCACCAGGGTTCTCTGCGCCCTTGGACCTCTGGGTTTCATAGAACCTACTTTATAATCCTCATGGTTACGGGTCTGACAATGGCATCCACAATGTGCCACCTCATCCGCTTCTTGGGAAGTATTCCAAGTAGTTTTAAGTGCCCTACCGCAGCACAGCGTAATTTACTATTCGGCCATACCGACTGTAGGACCCGAGAACATACGGTATATAATTACTTATTCATGTTGTTTTCTCCCACTTTATTGTTCTATTGAAATATCCGTCAACTAGGCCTAATTGTCACAATTTCTCAGGATCTGTTGCAGTCTATTCAAACACTGCAGGTAAAAGGATGTAAAAGGTTAATAAATTGCACATCAAATATCTCCATATGAAAATAACCTTTGAAATAAAAACGTCTCATAGGCTGAGAATTTCAAAAAGACATAGGCCTACTAAATACTATACGGTACATTGCTAGAGGTTTTCAATTTCTTCCAATGTAACGTCATTCATTGGTTTTCCGGATTTGGGTCGACGTGATATTACATATTTATCAGGATGTTTGCGACGTTTAATGTCGCTGTGCAACGCATCATCTGTGGACGGGTCTAATTCTTCACTCCAGGCTTCTTTCACTGATGTTGGCGTGGATTGCTTCCGCAATATTGACGCTACACTAACGTCAGTTTCTAGTGTCAATGGCAAGTTGTCTGCTCGACACAAGTTGTCTGTCCGACTTGAGGACGAATGACATTTAGTTAGCAAACCCGGCATGTATTGTTCATTCGTGAACACCAAAACATCATCGAATACTGAACGATGAGATTCGCTTCTGGTTTTCTTCATTGAAAATCGGACGGATTTCCTCTCTTTTGCAGAAAACAATTCATCTTGTAAGTTCGTATCTTGTATTGAAACTACTCTGCTGTTCTTTCCTGTCGACATACTCCCGACGGATCTATGCTGTTTCATCCAGAATGATATCTCGGATTTTTGCTTTTCAATCTTTTGCACACTTAAGACATACTTCAAACAAGCCTTGAATAGCCCTGGAAGTTCGTGTAGGCTCGGTTCTCGACGTATAACATCTCGAAATCTGCGTGTAACCCTATCTACATAGTTAGGATGGATTAGAGAACACAGATTTTCTATCTGCAACCGATTATCCGGATGGATTCTATATTTCTTACGATTTGAAAAATCATCTGTCAACCAATCGTATGAAACTGTAAGACTACCTGGTTTGTGTTGCTGACCCAGCCGATCCTGTATCGCTTTCTCCATGCGCGCCATTTGTCCATCTAGTTCCCACATTAGTATCCTCTGAGGAACCAAGTCGGTGTTTTGGTTCATTGTTCGGCCCTTAAAGCACCGACCTGAACTGGAATGAGATGAATTCGTGGACGGCACCCGCTTTAAGTAGCTTAGTATAATGACTCCCTGCTGCTGCAACGGACAGACATTTCCCCAAACCGTATCCATGATGAAGGTAACCAATGTCTGTACGCACACGAACGCGTCCATATAAGCGCAGTTCGCGCAAAAGTCGACAAGACTAAACGACGGCAGAAGGTTAATTTAGATTTCAAAATAATAACTGTACATGCATTGTGTCGTGTGGAGATAGGTCTTTATGTTTAGACGGGCAAAGTTCGGTCCAAAGTTTGATTGATAATGTAATTTAACAAAGTCATCCACTGTCACTTTGCAACAATGGGGAGATCAAAGTGTTATGTGACATACGCCTTAAAAAATTAAAATCAAAGTAAACATTCTTGCGCAAACCGATGTGTATTGTCACAGCAAATACATTCAAAAACGATATTTATATCTAAGCATAAACGTCACAAAATTTCAAGAAGAAAATTAATCCAGTCAATCTACTAAGAAAAATGGTCAACCCGGAACAAATTACAATAATGTTTTTACCAAAAATTATGTATAGTTTCTACCTATGCGCTAGAATTTTGCGTCGTAAACGCGATCGAGATTGTAAAAAGAAACTCAATCTATCTATGACGAGTATTTCTTTTCCATGGACAGAAAGTGTAGTCTCAATGAGTGTAGACATTTTATCCCCATTATGACAAGGCAAATCCCAAAAAAATACATTTAAAAAAATTAAAAACCACAATTTACCACAAATGTAAACTAAAGAGTCCTAAAATTTTGCCATCGCAGAGAGGGGGAGGGGGTGGAGCTGCCCCTCCCCCGTCGGGGAGAAAAAAAATTATATGTATTTTCTACATATAAGTAGACTCTAAAATCGATTAAATAAACCTTTGAAACCCTTAAATTTGTCAAAATTTTCGGGGGCTTCACACCCCCCCCCCACCCCTGAACCACTTTCGAGATCTTTTAATCGAAGCTCGACCTCTTTGCTTTTGTCGGGGAAATCTGATCCCTCGTCACACAGTGTTAAAAACTTCTTCTCGCTAGCCAATTCAAATTCTTTCCTTGGATCACTCAAAATGAATGTAAATATGCATCAGCACACGTTATGCATAGGCCTATAGGCCTAAACACGTTTAGCTTTAAAACGTGTCACCAAAAATGGGACTACATTGCGTGGAGCTTTGTGTTTAAATCCTCCACGCTGTTTTTACCGTGAAATTATAATACTTTGAATGATAGGCCTCTCTCTATTTTTATACTTTTTCATATTGGTATATTTTGTATCTTAATGTTTTTGTATGTCAACTTATTTAGCCTTGCGTACTCCCAGTTTTGGGAAACTGTTCTGGGATCTTTATTTGTTTCCTGTATTGTTTTTATGCAATAAAGTGATTTTATACATGGGAGGCATAAGCGTGATTTAAAAAAATCTTAAATCGATAAATCCCAGAGAAGGTCTTTTAAGATACAAAAATGTGATAATGTACGGTATGGTTCAGTTTGGTTTTTATCCTTTTGCAAGTGTTTATAAAGCTTTGTTTAATAATACTATTACGACAGTAGTAATAATGATTATGATGATGTGACGATTATGATGATGACGATGGTGAGAACGATAATATATAATATTATTAATGATATTAAAAAGGGAAGAAAATTGTGCTAAAGGCAAAAAAGAAATTTGTGATTTGTTGATCATAATTATTATACTATACCGGTAGTTAAAGCTTAGTAAGCTTTGGTTATGAGGCTACGCCTAAGTTGCCCTGGATGTTAAGATATTGTGTTGATCCCTGATAAAGATCATGAAAAATTTGTTGACGCTTCATTTTGACTATATACCGTACCTATAATGGTGATATGATGATGAATTTTACTAATAGTGTCATTTCTGGCCATTTAGAGGTACTATTTCCTCAAATTGTTATACCTCAGCCCCAACCATGGTGGGTCTGAGGTGGGTGTGGACACACGAAATTCCCCCACCCTCTACACCTTTCAAAACAGATCTGCGCCCTTCCTTGGGTATGACTAAACTCCATCGAGTCTTAGTGACTGCTGAGGCGAGGGTGCATACATTTGTTTTTAGGATATGATCTGGTTTTTCATGCCCATTTTCGTGATTATAACTATTTTGGATAAAGAATGTTTTGAGCAGTGGCGGATTCAAGGCCCCTCCCCCGCCCCCATAACATTTTTAATGGAAAAAAAGAGAAATATACTGTATTCAAATTTAAGTGTGAGAGTGTAATTTCCGTCCATCTAAAGATGCTTTAATCATAAATTTCCTTGCCTCAGCCCCCGGTGACCATAGTGGGGCAGAGGTGGGTTGTTCCTCAGTCTGTGAAAGTCCTTCTCTGGGTCACCTCTCCTACGAATAATGATATTGTTTCAAAAAATGAATAAACATCGGGACAAAAGCAAAATTCGAATTCACTCAATTGAATTTAATGAGAGATACGACTTTGACAAAAAAAAAAACGGGGGAAATAATACGGCATTGAATATTTGCATTTCTTACTCTGTACATTTATATAACTTTGTAGCATTCAATTACAAAAAGTAGAATAAAAGCAAATTTGTCTTACCGCTTAACAGGCATATGAATAATGTATTTTCTATTTTTTGTGGTAATCAATTATTTTTTTTATTTTATTTTTGTCGGTAAATTGTAAATCAATTGAAATTTTATCTGTGTTTCTTTGAAAGTTCATAAAAAAGCCAGAGGCTCCAGATAGAAAAAATTGACATGTGATTTTTCTAAGACACAAAAAGCATATTAGGGTGGCTACGCCTCTTTCCCCCAATTTTTAAATATTCAAAAATCTGTATCTCACCGTTCCCGAGTTTTCCGTCAAATATGCTTTTTTTTTGTGTCTCACAAAAATCAGATAACATATCTACAATTTTTCTCCCGAAGCCTGGCTTTAAATAAACAATTCAAGTGTTCAATTTAATTTTTGAGGGGTTTTATTGCATTGTTTTTATTTTTCAGATCGTCGGTATATTCTTATTAATGGCGCCCGCTACTGTTCAGTAGGTCGATCGAATTTTGTGACAAACTGAAATTGACACTTGGAAACAAACATAGCCACATAACAAAGCAAAAACACAGTAAAGAAATTCGATTTTCTGTATATTGGATCATGGAGTTATAATTATTTTATAATTAAATAATTATAACTCGATGATTGGATTGTGTGAAGCGTTATTCTCAGACATTACCTATTGCATAAGGCATGGATGTTATCGAAAAAAAAATCGCCATCTCCATGGTGTAATCTTCTGTAAATATATATGATGCAAATAAGATGCAGCTGACTAAATAAACACGAAGATTACAGTAGAATGTCAAACTCACAACCCATGTATGATCATGGAGGATTTCTTCCTCCATGGTATGATAAATAAACGTTTAATACTTTGAAAGGGTTTGTTATCCGAATTCTGTGTCCTTTCGATTATGGCCGCGCTGCCCACTGTGGCGAGTAAGCATATTAAAGAAAGAAAAAAAGAAGAAGAAGAAGAAGGAGAAGGAGAAGGAGAAGGAGAAGGAGAAGAAGAAGAAGAAGAAGAAGAAGAAGAAGAAGAAGAAGAAGAAGAAGAAGAAGAAGAAGAAGAAGAAGAAGAAGAAGAAGAAGAAGAAAGAAGAAGAAGAAGAAGAAGAAGAAGAAGAAGACACTTTACTTGAAAATAATCCTCCAAATTTGATACCATCATTATGATATATATACCGGTTTAAATTATAGTAATATGTTGCTCTTATATAGCGCTTCATGCACAATGCCTCTAATTCCATAATATTGCAGCTACTAATTAGCGCAGTTGTGTTCGAACCTACCAGGTACCCACTTGTACTCCTGGGTGGAGAGCGGCAACCGTAGATAAAGTGCCTTGCCTAAGGACACAGGCGATTTGCACAGCGAGAGCCTCGAACCCCCGACCTCAAGGCTGGGAGTCCAAGCCACAGCGCCAACAGCTTCTATAGGGGCCTAATGGTTTCCACACCATTCCCTGGCTCAGTGTTTTTGCTCAAAACCTCTTATTTTGTTCATATTTTTACACACTTTTCAAACAAGAAAATTATTATTGTACAGCAGGTCATTACATATATATCGCAACATACTGCAAATAAGGTACAGATACGATTAGTTGGTTTTCTATTAAAACAAGCCTTATTTGACATTTATAGCATACCTCAGCCTCAATTTGTTCTTATATTTAAGCGATTTCAGCCTCAGTGTTCTTATAAAACGTGTTTTTGCAAAAAAAAAAGTGTATGTTGGTTAAACAATTGGGCACAGAAAGTAAATTCTAGAACAAAATAAAATAAGGTCTAATTATGTTGGTATAGTAGAATTCCATGGTCTAGTAACAAGCATAGGCCTAATCGTCTTAATTATTTTCATAAACGTCTTCTTGGCGTCGCAAATTAGTTATAGAATAAAAACTGCATCAAGGTACAAGTTATAGTTTCAAGTATTGTTGCCTACTTTCCATTAATTGCATTAATTAAGAATGAAAAGGCCTGATAAATTTTTAATATACTTTGGAATATTTATTAGGCTAAATAACGGTAACAAATAGTTGACAATCGTGATGAGAGTTGATAGCCATATATAACCAGTAACGTACGTAATGTACATAGAGATTAACAAACAAAAGGCTGTTCACCCAGGGAACCGGGTTTTATTACCCTTGTTGCTAGGGTAACAGCATCAAAATATATAAATAGCGAGGTGGCGTTGTTGAGTGTTAGCATGATGATGCGCGGTCGGAGTGCATTATTTATTGTGAGGTCGACGTTCGTGTAATATTAAATCACATTCGTGCAGTCAACATTGTTCAGCAGGAATTCCGTGTTGAATTTGAAGACGTCCATATCAAAACGAACATTTTAGGAGAGACTTTACATTTTGAGAATTTTAATTATGGGTTCGTGCTCATCTACTAGTAGTACGCAGACGAGACCACAGTCTAACACTAAAACTAATGGCGTCCCACAATCTAAACCCATAGAGCCACCTACTAAGGCACCCCAAAAACCAGAAGTACAGAATAACAAACATATAGAAGAAGAACAACACACGGGATCAGGTAAATTAGTTTTATTTATTTATTTATTTTTTCAGCCGTGGTTTTTGTTTGCTTAAGTTGAAGTTAGACGGACGCAAAATGCATCGGCATCCTCACCCCGTAAGCTAAGTTCTCAGCAAACCTACGTCATTGGATCTCGTGGCAGACATACACCGTTTTCTAAGCTTAGCAATTATCATCGGTCTCAAAATGACCCGTTCAGATGTCTACAGTAAAAATTGTTTATTTTAAAATGTAGCTTTTGCCTAATGAGATTAATAAGATTATAGATGATTCACATATTGCTTGTTGAAAATTATTATTTTACTAAGAATATGTTTAACATGAAAAAGTAATTCATATCAGTATTTTTAAAATGTATTTAGTCTGTAGGATAGACATTATATAACCTTTGAGTTATAACTTGTGTTTGTAGTAGGCCTAACATACATACACACACACGCCAGCAAGTAAAATGACTATTTTTGTTTGTTCCCCCATTAAAAGATTTGTTATAAATGTTTATAGGGAGGTTTCTAACTTGTACTTTTGCATGTAGGCCTACCACATTTTTCAACAGATGTTTAATACTGTACACATACAAGAAAAACACAACTTCCACTATTTCAATGATCATAGAATGTGCTTCTGAATCATTATCACAGTAATTCTTATTAATAATATTTGTAAGAATTGTAATAAAATTCCCCCAAATTTTGTTTCATTTAAATAACAACCCAACAAACAGTTAGGAACCTTCTCAAAACAGGCTGAACAATAATGAAGTTTTAAGAATTTGTAGGCCTATATTACTTTAAATGCCAATGTGTATAAAATAATGGCAAAGGTCATGTATTTGATGCTTAAACACTGATTCTTCAAGAGCTATAACTAGTTATCAAGCATGACATTATCCAAATTAATTTTCAATTTTATGCATCAAAAAAAGAATTAACATACAAAATTGTGATGCGAGGAAACAATTATGGAATGTGAAAGTGAAATTAATAAACATTTTCAATTGTACATTGTCAAGGTAACTTTAAAAAAAAAAAAATCAGGGAATCTTTCTGACAATGTTGGTGAAAGCTGTTTTTTAAAATGTTGGGCGAAAACGTTTTTAACTGTGCTAGTTGAAATGTTTTAACAATTTCCAGGAAACGGTTTTTAACAGAGTTTGCTGTCAATTAAAAGAGTAGCGATCCTTGTCTCTATAGCAAAGTAATTCATTATTAACTCATTGATGATTGTCAAAGTTTTTAGCAGTGTTGATCAAAAGGCAAATGAAGTTGTTGATAGCACATGGCCAAGTAAACAGTAGCGTTGTTGACAATTGCTTTGGTAACAACCTGCCGTTGCCTATTGTCTTCATTGAATAAGTCACTACTGCTTGTCAAGGTACAAGGGAAAGGACAATGCCATAATTGAATAACTAAATATCTGAAAGCGAATTCAGTGTGTACTCTGTTAGGCTAGTGAATAAATCAATTTGATTGCATTGCAGCTCTTTATTAAGTTAACCCATAAAATAAAGATTTAAGAACTGTCTGTCGTATGTTAAATTTATTTTTTAATGGCAAAATAAAATATTGATGTGTAGACACAGAATTTAAATTTGTTGTTAATGTATTATTTTTATTCAATCATGGATTTTGTCAAGAAAATTCATGAAATAGAATACATATAATTATTAATTGAAATATCATAAAACAGATTAAATAGATCCAGAATTTCACATATATCACTAATAAATATACACATGGGAAAATATAAATTAAATATGCTTGCGATTGGCACATTTTGGTGAAATTTTAGTGTATTTTCATAAGTATATAGAATAATCCACCTCAACATTTGAGTGATTTTTCTAATCTGCTTTTAATGCCGTCAGAGCTAAACAAGTGCATAATGGCTTTGGAAATTAGAATCATTTTAGTTTTGAAAGTGTTGACCCTGAATTTCTAATGGTTATCATGTCCAGTCTTTAGGTAAGTAGTTTTAGGGCAGTTTAATTGTCCTTCATATCTTTCACATTTCCCTAATTACAAGGGTCTATCCAATTGTTTACCAGTTGCCATGGTAACAGAGAGTGGATGCACAGAGTCATAAGTAGTGAAGTCCAGACATGTTTTATATAATTAATGGATGTTGTTGAGATCAAGGAGGGAAGGGAATGTGATAAAATAACCCATAATTGTACATGTTATTAGCATAGTATAGAAGTACAGAATTGCAAGATGTCCGACTGCCCTGATTTTGTTTGCACACAGTGAAACATTTAAAAAAGTACTACCTCAAGATTGGGTGTGCCCTGTTTACGAATGCCTACATTCTTTTGAAGGACATCCTCTAGTTGATGATAGTACTTTTTTAAATATTAGATTGCGTTCCAGCGAAACCTAGAGTCGGACCACTTGTAGTTCTATACTCTTAGCCTTCCAGAATATCAGAAGTGCTCCCAGGGAAAACCTTGTACTGAACCAAAAATGGGAACCCTTGCCATCCCCCTTCCCTGAATCTTAGCAATGGGTTGGTTCTTACAAATGCTCGATTGTTTCATCATTGGTGATTACAAAACCAGGAGCTCAGGAGATTATTATCTCATGAGCTACCTTGATTTTGTTATGTTTGTTTATTCCTTATTAGGATTAAGGACTTAAAAAATAATTAGATCTCCAATCCACATAGCAATTTAATAACAAGGGATTTTCTAAATAATTGTTTTTAATTTCAAAAGCATAAACATGTACCTAATGTAGTAACATAATACTACTATGATTGTCCAATTATGTTGTCACCGTTTTCATGAAGAGACACAAACTTCAATTTCGACGAAAATAACGTTTTAAGAAAAATGTGTGGACTACTTCACAAATCTGTAAATTTCACTATCAAGATAACAGAATTTTGAATATTTTTTATGTATGTTTAAAGTTAAAGTATTAAACAATCCAAATGTATAATTTATTTTTCTGTCAATTAGCATAAAAAGTTTGTGTCTGTTCATGAAAACGATCAGAATAAACACAATGTTGTTTACACGTAGAGTGAAGTTTGTGTCTCTTCATAAAAACGGTACGTGCTGTACGCGCACCCGTTGTTAAGGCACAAACTATATTTTAGCTATGTGTTAACCATTGTAGTCAAGGGCGAAAACAGGCCTACAATCTTGGCTTATCCTGCTTTAATCATTATGTTTTTACGAATAATTCCACATTTGATGCACGTGTATAGACCTATCCCAAGTTATACTGCAAGAAGGGTACCGGTATGCCTAGGTAAGCTAGGGAAATCTAATTTTTACATCTACCTGTAGCCCTAGCCAAGCTAGGCCTTACCTAGCGACCTAGCGATCACAACGATTGCAACGCTGCATGCGCGTCTTTTAATAACTAAATGAAAGTTTGTGTCTCTTCATGAAAACGAAAAATCCATTTTTCTTGGTTTGTGTGCAACAGCTAATTAGCTTAATTAGCTAATTAGTGTAGTTCCACTCTTAAAAATTTGATGAAAAGGTAAAGTTGATGTACATATCAAAATATCAAAGAAAAAAAAAATTGAAAAAATATGATTTTTGAAGTTTGTGTCACTTCGTTAAAAAACGGTGACGATGTGATACCAAATATTCCATTTAAACTTTTCATCCAACCTAGAGTAAATATCCATGTTATACATAATCAGTGCACCTGTTCGTAAATATGATAAGGATATTGAAAATTAGTTTTTTGGGTTTTTGTTAGATTACTGAAAAAGTAATTAGTGATGAAAGTGCAATAGATCAAATAGAAAAATAAACATTCTGAATACATAGAGGGTAAAGGTTTGAGTATAACTAATATTTACTAATTGCAAAATATGAGGTTACTCGGAGTCATTGATGTGAGTAGATGCCTTTGCATTTCTGTTACCTACTCTCGTTTCTAGGTAAAAAGGCCCTATGTATCATGTATGTGTATACTGTATATTATTATTCAAATATAATGTAATACATAAAATATACAGGTAATTGTAATGTACATATACAGGAAATGTACTTTAAAAAGAGTACCATATTGATTGCCATGCTTTTTGTATTTTTTACGTCCACTTTGTCTTTACTACCAATTTTTACCCTGCCAACTTCTATCTACTCTCCTTCCTTCACTCTACCACATACATGCCAAGTTAGACTAATTTGCAGGCAGGGGATTTTGGTCCTTTAGCACAAGAGCGTGAGACAGACCACAAATGCAAGAGTCTCACACTGAATGCCTGAGCCTTGGCGGGTATGCTACCAGAACCCCTCCCATTATTACCAGTCTTCTCCTCATCCCCTTCTGATAATTGAATTCTCTTTTGCAGGCATGCCAATAATAGGATGTTATTATTACTAAACAGAATTGTTTCCTTGTGGTAACTATATTGATGTATTGATTTAGAAGTATGACGGAGTTAATATTACAAATTGCCTTCAATCAATATAGTGGTTAATTATTTATATTATTGATTGATAAACACAACTGTGGTGTATTGTGACCAATGCTGGTACTGTATTGTTATTTTTATTTATTTATTAATTTTTTTTTTTTTTTTTTTTTTTGGAAATTGTTTAGTGGAGTTTAGTGGGTTTCAGGAATTTTATTTCAAACATAGGAAATTAAAGATGATTCTGCAGTTATGTATTTGACCAGAAAATTAACTTTGACCATCATTTTTATTACATATGAATTTGTAAGAGCCAAAAACAGCACCTAACAGAACAGATTAATTCTTGCTTTCTAGCGCGTATCATTCAATATTTCCTGTGCGAGTTCAGCGCGTGATGTAGGCTACGTAGTGAACCGGCGAACGCTTGCATTCATTTCACTGTAACATGTGAATTTTGAGGGAAGCAAAATTATAACTGCAAACCTAATTATATTTACATGATGAGAATCTACTAATCATAAGCTTTCCATTCATGTATTTCATGAAGTAAAAAGAGCAATAAAAAGGGTCTAACATATCAAACAAACACCAGACACACTCCAGTCTTCGCATCAGTCGCCGGAGAAAAATGATTACGCTGAAACTACTTTTAATCGAAAAGTGACAGGATAAAAAATAAATCTATCTCGTTTCATTTCATCTCATTAGAAAGATGAAAGGTAGATCTTTTATTTAAAAAAGGAGGAAATTGATTTGATGAGAAGTTCCAAAGTTATGGTAGAAAAGGCTGTAAAAAAGGGTGTTTTCAGGGTTTTTTTAGAGCAGTTTTATCAATTTCAGCCAGCGCGCTACTAAAGGGCACGTACAAATTCATATGCCATGACTCTACTTGTTAATAAACTTTCCCTTTATCATCATACACTAGTCATACACTAGGCTATTATTCACTTGTTACACATGAATGTAGTAAATCATGAAGGTGATTGTTGGAGCTGTTACATGACAGATATGCTGAAAGCAGAAACTCACCTTTGAAAATTCTCGTAAAAATTGAGACAACAGTAATAATATGATTTCACTCAAGTGTTTAACACCATCACTATAATGATTTATATACATGTCAAACTTTACATTCACCATTTTTAAGTTATTGTTTTATAATTTAAATAGTCAAAAAAATAGTATTGATACCAGTATAACATTTGTTCATGGAAATGTATTTAAAACTGGTAGACAGATATATAACATTCATAAAATATATGCAGTATACAGTACTAAAATTATAGTTCAATAGGAATAATAAATATTATAATATAGAAAAAATACTGTAGAGTGAGTATTACTAATAATAAAACCATATTTTACATAGCTCTTAAGCTATGATGGACAACTATCTGCCGCCGAACACAACCCGTTATTATCATTAACAGTTAATTTAAGTGACCATTAAAAATTGAAAAAAATAAATTAGCAACTAGCAGAAATAAAATTAACAATATATATAACTGAAAATATATAATATAATAATAATATATATATATGTATTGTTAGAAAAGTCAGAAAAAAACTCATTAAAGAACTTCAAATTATTTGTATAAGATATTGATTTTGCAGTACATTTGTTCCTTCTAACATTCACGTCACAATATTATTCAAATAGAAAAAATAAAGAGGAATACAAAAGGATGAAACCACAGACTGAAGAAATGTCCTGGAGCTAAATAAAAATTTACAAAAGAACAGATAGAATACAGCTTGTTTTAAAACTCAACATAGAATGAGAACCAATAAAACTAACTATATTATCAATATATAGTGAATCCATATCTTAATGCAAATACAAACTTAATGTTTTAATGGACAATATGATTATGATAGAGTTGTTATGAATTTTGTACAGTTATTAACCCATGCTTGATTTCATGATTTGTAAAATTTGCAAATGGAAGTACATTGAATTTAAATATTTTTGTATGAAATCATAATTCACGTCCCATATAGATGGTTTTATTCATACCTCTGGTTTCTATAAAAGTCGAAGTTGACTTTTTTTACTTATGCCTTTTGTCTCTCTCCAGCACCTCCACCCAAAGAACCACCGAAGGAAGAAGAAGAAAAGAAAGATGAAGAAAAGAAGGTTGAAGAAAAGCCAACAGAAGAACCAAAAGTAGAAGGTAGTGAAGTACTCTATATTTGTGTGTATATTTAAATTTCAATTTTATTTAAAAATATGACACGTTTCCAGACATTTAAGTAGTTTAATACTTTACTAATTCATTCAGAGCCTAAACCCGCTGTAGAAGCAGCACCAGAACCAGCTGTAGAAGAATCTAAACCAGAAGAGCCAGCTTCTGAAACTCCAGCACAAGAGCCCGCAGCAGAAACAACTGAACCTTCGGAACCCCCCACAGAAGAAAAACCAGCAGAGGCATCACCGGCTGAAGAAGCACCAGCAGAATCAACACCAGCTGAAGAAGTTCCAGCAAATGCAGCACCTGCTGAGGAAGCACCAGCACAAACAACACCTGCTGAAGATGCACCACCTCCAGGTAAGGGAGTCTCTTTGCTCATGTTAAAGTGTTGTGATTTTAATAGAAATTAATTAACAAGAAAACCCATTGTTATACTGTAACTTTAATTGCTTCAGAACTTTGTCGGGATTCTCTGAAACTAGATAAATTTGTGATTGAATTGTTATTTGAATAATGATAAACAGAAATTATGTTTATAAGAATGTTTTTGCAATTATGCCAAGATGCTATGTTTTTATATAAAGAGGATTTAAAGTAATATCAATGACGGTGAAGTGACTGACAGCTGATAATGAAGATGATGATGATGATGATTATTGCTATGATGATGATATTGTTTAGAATGGTTATGATGTATTGTAGATGACAAGGTTTTTCATCTAGTCAATATACATACTGTACTTGAAATAAATGTTAGGTGATACAGAAGAGGTAGCACAGGAATTACCAGCAGAGAATTCAAGACCTGAAGAAACCCCTGCAGAAACAGCTCCAGAAAATACATCAGAAGAACCAGAAAATACATCAGAAGAACCAGAAAATGAAGAAACGACAGCTGCAGAACAATCACCCGCAACAGAAGAAACACCAGCAGCAGAAGAGACACAGTTGGAAACAGAAGAAACACCAGCAAAGGAAGAAACGGTAACAACAGAAGAAACACCAGCAGCAGAACAGACACTAGATACAGAAGAAACACCAGCAACAAAAGAAACACCAGAAACGTTAGCTGAAGGTGATGTCAGGGGCAACTGCATGGCCTAAACACATTATTTTGTTTCTCTCCAGTGTGTTTCATCTAACCAGCATTTTTGCATGTAAAATAATCTGCACCACACATTTAGCACTTCCTTCAGAGAGTGGTTCTCTCACGAGATGTAGCCGCACATTTTTTTATACTAATCTAAGGTTTGCGGGCAAATCTGGATATTACAGTACATGACTCAATCACATGATTCGAGAGATTTGGATGTTTTTAAAATAAAAAAAGGACCCAAAATTACTTTGGGTAAATTTGTGAGAGAGCCACTTTCACTAACAAATTTATCAAACATAAATTTTAATTGATTATTTGATGAATCAAATGATTGATTGAATTTCACGTTCATTTGTGATTACTATTTAAATGTATTGAGGCTATTCTAATAAAGCCAGTTTCCAAATTAATTTTTCTGTCATTTGAGGCATTTAATTCTGGGTGCCGCAAACAAAACATTATCGCCAAATGAAATCAAATGTTCCCTGTTATGCGTTATCATATATTTTTATTTCTTTATCATAAACATTATCAATGTTGTCTAACAATACTTTTCTTGATCATCATTTACTTTGTTTCCCCTTCATATATTCAGATAATTTAATATTCATGAAACATAATAAGAATAAAAAAAAGAACACAATTTTATTTAAGAATATTTTTTGTTTGTCATTTCTACATTATTTTTTCATTTAAAACATTTGTTTTCTTCCTTTGTGTTAATCGGATAGAATATATAAAAAAATATTTTTTTTTAAAATAAGAAAAAGCAAATGAAGAAGGAAATTGCATGAGAAGATTTAAAATAAAATTCTTGTGATGGGCCCACCAAACAATACAAGTAGTAGCCAGAATACAGACAAGACAAGAAAAAGATGCAAAAAAAAATAATAAAAAAGATTGAAAAAAAAGGACAAAAACCGAGAAGACAGTTTTGTTCGAGAATGTTATAGAGGAAAGTGTAAAATAATTATTTAATACAAAGCAAATAAGGGTTTTTTTTTAATGGTAGTTTTATTTTTAGAATGCAAATTGGTAATTGTTAGATGTAAATTTGTTCCATAATTTCAGACCAAAAAATCTTATATTGTGTTGAAACGAATTTGTTTTGCAAGTGGGAATAGAGTTCAGACCTAGATCTAGTGTGGTGTTTGTGAAGAGAGAGATTAGCAATAAACATATTACAGAGATGTTTGGGAAAAAGGAAGTTAATAGATGAATATATGAAAATAGATTGTTGAAGTTTGTTAATATTACAAAGCTCAAGAAGATTATAAAATGAAGTGGATGAGGGGGACCACGTTGGGGCACCAGACAGTATAGTCCTGATTGCCTTCTTTTGAATGGATTGAAGTTTTATGAGGTTGGAAGGAAGGAACATTGAAACATTTAAGCAAATTCTTGAAATGATATTATATTACAGTAGAGTAATTCACTAACTTTAAATCATTCAGAGTCTTGTAGTACCAGTTTAGTTTGTGTTGTTGCCGTGACCACGAAACAAAAGATTTGAATGTTTTGTCGTAAAAGCTTTACAATCATTGTGTAAATGATATTATATGAGATACTTAGATTACATATAAACAGCTCAAATATATCAAGACAATCGATTTGAAAAGATTTAGGTAATAGAAAGCCCCCGACACTATAAAAAATATATATCGAAGGCCAACAGTAGTTCAGTGGGACAGCAATGGACTATTTAAAAAATAACATGGAATATATAAAAATAATGTGAACGATGCATAGTAAATTATTAAACCAGTCATAAAAACTTGAAGCTCTTGGTTTATTATCTTGTTACCCATGACAACATAATATTGACTACTCTCTGTATGTACTGTAGGTTTAATCTCTTTGTGCCTGCAATGTGCAGTACAACGTTCAGTACTTTTCATCAGTGCCGTTGCTTTTATTCCATGGCCATCAATTAATCTTTTTTTTTTTGAAAAGTTGTAAAAATAATTTGGAAATAACAGTAGTTGAATAGTTTAATTTGAATAGAAGGAAATAAAGCCCTTGAAAGCAGCTCATCATTATATATATAAAATTTATATGAAATTAATGCTAATGATAATGTGCAAGATAATAATTTTTTGCAAGAATATGACTTCAGAATGGTTAAAAATGAGACAAGATTAATATTGATGATATTTAAATATGTTTATCATATATATTTATAGTTGCATGGAAGAATGTGATATGAGAATACATACATAACATGATTTATATAGCACTATTTCATGAAGATCAGAGCACTCAAAGCATGGAGTACAGTAGAATGACTATCATGTGTGAGAATGCTTGTCATATAATATGAGGTTGATTATAATGTGATATGAGAATAGTTGACATGAGAGCGATATCAGAATGGTGTTATATTTCACTTAATGTGAGCATTTTTTCATGCGATATGAAAGTGATTTTCATGTCATGCGAGAGTATTATCATGTGATGTGAGAATTATCATGTGATGTGAGAATTATCATGTAATGTGAAAATAATTGTCATGAATGATTGTGTGATTTTAGAATGTTATGTTATACTAAAAGTGTGCATGCGATGTGACAATAATGTAACATGCTAAAAATTATTGTGTGTAGCTATGATGACTACCATATGATTTGAGAATTATACTTACCGTATGTGATGTAAGAATAATTATCAATGTGATGTGAGATAGGCATTTTTCTTATAAAATAAGATTTATAAAATTCTGTTAATTAAAAAAAAAATTATTGGAAAATTCTTTTCCACAGTGCAAAATTATATTATATTTCTGTATTTTGTAGCAATTGCAGATTAACATTTCTCGTCTTATACTTGCCACTTTAAGCATGTTGATATAAAGTAGGACTATTTAAGTTGCCAAAAAATTACTAGGTCAGTAGGAACAATATGGGAAGTAGCGAATGTTTAGGTACATCCCTAAGATACTTTAGTTAATTTCATTAGTTAATATTATTTTTTATATAGTCATAAAGGATAATTCTTAAAATAGATTGTTCTGCTACCAGGTAAGATATAATCATATAAATCTTTAAAGCTGATTTAGAAATAAAAGGTACAATATATTGTTAAACATTTTCTCCAGGTTTTTTTTTTCACTTACTATATTCATTTGAGTACAGCATGGTCAACAATTTAATTTACATTTCATTAATCATTAAATGTTTGTTAATTATATTAGTAAAGAGTACTACTTTGCTGACATCACAACACCACCTGACATCCCTCTGTTACTTAGCAACAATAACCAAGCGGTTGATATGGCTGAGTGCCTCCACAGCTAGCCCTGGAGCACAATAGCTTAGTAGGTGGTTGCTAAGTAACAAAACTGTGTCATTGTATTGTGATATTGCAACATTGCATTTATATTTAACTATTTACTTAATAGTTTTTCATTTGTTTGTGCATTTTCATTACTAATTTCATTCATATTATCACATGCCTGTGGAAGGCCTCAGAAGACAAGTGTGCTGTCCCGATATCTAATGCATCACCATTGTTTGTTTATTTTTTTATTTATTTATTTATATTTAATTTTTATTTATTTTTTATATTTTTTAATTTATTTATTTTTTAATTTATTTTGATTTCCCTTTTGATCGTGATATATATGAGTAATGTACAAACACATTGTGCGATACATTCATTGGAACAACAGAGGAGGTATACAGGGAAGGGGGAAATGGGAGAGGGGTACCAGGAGGGGATACGTAATGAGGTGACATTGTTTTATTTAAGAATTGTTTGGTTCCTTTCTTCCAAGTAAATTTTAAAATTTGTTAATATTAGTCTATTAAGTTGCATTCAACATACACATATTTTTTTTTACTTTAAATTTTTTATCTTACAGTATATATTCTGATTGTATATTTATCATTTTAAGTTTAAACATTTTAAATATAAATATATGCATGTATTTCTATCTATTATTACAAACATGTATTTTATTACGTTATATATATTTTGCTTAACAATTACACAATGTTTGTATTTTTTAACAATATTATTTTTAACCTATTTCTATAAGAGCATGTTTTGCATGTAATTGATTCATTAACCATTTTAAATATAGTTTTAAGATATTCTCAGAATTCAGTACATAATCATTGACAGTCATTTTCAATATCTAAGAAAGTTATTAGCTTTCAGTGTAAAAATAAATATGAAAACAATTCATATATTCTCTACATAGATCATTGATTAAGTTAGCAATTTAAAGATTTCTAAAATATAAATCAAACATCTGAGCCTTCTCCAGACTACAACTTATTATTTGATTTAAAAATGTGACATGCCTAAATATGGTCATAATGACATCACATCATGACCATATATAGGCACATCATACTATATATGGACATATAAGAGGTTTTTGTGAAAAGAAAATTTGATAATCTGGCCAATGCTTTAGTCAGTGTAAACAGAGTTGTTTTGATGTCTCATTAAAAGCTGTTAACCTACTAGGTCGTTTTAATTGAAGAATTAATTGCTTTAATTGACAGACAAACAGACAGTAAGTACAGTATATACACAATATATTTATTTGTTTTCTCTTCTTCTTTGCAGATGCTGGAGAAGCAGCTTCATAAAATGATGATTATCCTTTCTGTGTGTTCTTCGTTTGAAGTTTAAAAAGACATTTTCAGCTCTTCCAACTTTAATTGAAAAACCCCTGATGACAACTAATTCCATGTGAGCTCATTTCTCCTCTTCCTCACAACAGAGTGAGATTTTGACAGTTCTCTCACATTAAAGAAGCTCAATTCTGGTGCAAGATGCCAGAACTGAAGACTGTGGATGTTGAAAATCAACCCTTGGCAAAAAAAGTGCAAAAACAAACACATTATATATTAATCAAGTATTATCCAACAAGAAATACAGACACATAAAACCTAGGAGAAAATCCTTGAATTCCTTATTTGAAGGAATTCATCTGCTCTAAATAAAATTTGATATCTCTTTCAGTTAGACTAAAATATATTAATTCTATTCTGTACTTGACATTTCAAGCACAATAAGCGGTCAAAATCTATTATATTTTAGTCAAGTTGAAAAAAACCAATCACCTATTGAAATGAACTTATTCAGTCCTAAGTACAGAAACTTTATTTTAAACTACATTAGAATTAAATATTATTCAATATTTACACACAATCAACAAGTTCCATACTGTTAAGAAGATTACTGGTGATTAACATGTTCCTTATTAAATTGGATAGTTCTTATTCCTGTTCATAATTTATGCAAAACAATATTCTACAAATAATTATTGTGTACTATGTTTTATGGTATGTGAAGAGGAGCTTCATGATTTGTTGATTGGTCATTACAGAAAGACCAATCAACAAACTGAATGAAAGCGTCATTATCAATGTTGTATAAAATTAAAGCATTAATTTTTGGAAAGTTAAGTTTATTTTTAAGAGCATTGAACAAGCTATTCACCAGAGTAGTCACTTTAAGGTATTTTAATGAATATGAATATTTTCCTCTTAAAGTATTATTGAAAAATTATATGTGATAATTAATATGAAAAATGAAAGCACCAGTTACCGTGAAAGTACTCTGTGATATTGTGAGGTTAATTAATTGAGAAAATGATAAACTAATTAATATTAATTAAAGAAATGTTTATAATAATATTATTGTATATTGTTAATCTAGAAGTATTATTACAAAATATTAACTAATATTAGGCCTTCTTATCTTGTCTATCACTGTTATGCTTTGAAAATGGACATGTGAGCAGATGAACAGTATAAATTATGATGAGGCCTAATATTAATTAATAATCAAATATTGTTAAATAATATTACCATTGGTTAAATTCAGTTGGTTAAAACATCTATAAACATGAATTCAAAATTTGTTGTGAACACAATTCTTAGGAAACTAAAAAGGTATTTAGTATTTAGTTCTCATTAGGATTTGAACCGACAAACCTGAGGTTGCCATGCCAACTGAGCCGACCTTGGATTTTAACATTAAGGTCACATTTTACCAAGTATTTCTTCTATGAATTTAAAAGGAGATTTAGCGTCAGTGAATACATGCCTGTAACATTTGTTAAAACCCTAAGATGAAAAAGTGTGCCTTTGTTTGTTACACCAAATTACCAATATGAATTGATTGGTTCTCAATTACTATAAAAATATTATGTAATTATTATTGTGTAATTATTATGTAATTATATAAAGATGTTCTCTTGGCTTAGTCTAGAATTAAATGAATATTTTTTTTAAAGATATAACTTTGTGGCATTAATTTAATTAATGGTGCTAAAATTTCGGGGTTTTTTTCTGCTCTAAATTGGACAACTCAAAATTCAGCAATAAACGCAGCAAACCAAATGACAGAATTCCACAAAAAAAAAATGTTTATCTAAGTGTTTGCAATATTTGGATACACTGATCTCTGAGAGACTTAAATCTTTGAAGTATTTTGTAGACTGATTTCATAGATTTGTGTATGCTTATGTTATAAATTTGCATACCATATCGATTTGAATAAATGCCCTTTCTAGAATCAAATTTTTCTGCAAGTGCAAATGCCACCCACTATCTCCCCCCCCCCCCTTTC